AGTAGCACCATGAAGAGAGGAAGATGGTAAACGATTGATAAGATAGGTGGCGGTTTGAAAAGCATGAGACCAAAAGGAAAGAGGGAGGTGAGCAGAATGAAGGAGAGTAAGGCCTGTCTCAACGATGTGGCGGTGTTTGCGTTCAGCTAGGCCATTGTGTTGAGGGGTATGCGGTGGGGTTAGGAGATGGGTGATGCCATGAGTTTGAAGGAAGGAGCACAATTTTTGAAATTCACCACCACCATCGCTATAAATACGTCGGATAGTAGTGTGGAAATAATTCTCAATCATGGCCTGGTAAGTGATAAAAACATGGTGAACATCAGATTTGCGAGAGAGAGGATAGAGCCACGTATAGCGAGTGAAATGATCCACAATAACCAAATAGTATGAAAAATTATCACGTGAGAGAATAGGAGAAGGCCCCCATACATCCATGTATAATAAATCAAAAGGACGTGAACTAGTTAAACTGGACATGGAAAAAGGCAGTTTGTGGCTTTTATGAAGAGAACAAGAATCACAGGAAGAGTTCGAAGACAAAGAAGTAACAGGCAAGGACTGTTTACGAAGAACACGTGAAAGAAGATTGAGATGAGGATGACCCAAGCGGTGATGCCACACAGCAGAGGACGTACGACAGGCTGACAAAGCTAGGCGAACCGGCGAAGCCGCCGCTGGTAGCTCATAGACATCTCCCTTATTCCGGCCTTGCAGCAGATGCGCCCCCGTGGCTAGATCCTTCACAACAAAAAAATCAGAAAAGAATTCCACCGACACAGGATTAGTCTTACATAACTGAGCAACAGAAAGCAGTTGATGTTTGATTGCCGGAACACAGAGAACATTATGAAGAGCCAAGGTGGACATGGAAGAAGATAAAGAAGAACTGCCAATATGTGTAATTTGCAGACCTGACCCATCGCCAATGAGAACTTCATCAGGTCCATTATAATCAGTGTAGAGAGAGAGCTGACCGAGATCCGGAGTCATGTGGTTCGTAGCCGCCGAGTCAACGAGCCAACCAGAAGATGAAGGAGCAGCGGTGGTATGATGAGCCTGAGGACGACCACGCAGCCGATAGCAATCCTTGGCCGAGTGTCTCGGGCGATCGCAAAATTGACAGACGAGGCACGGTCGGCCCAAAAGAGAAGGAGCAGGAGAGTTACCCACATTTCTAAAAGAAGACCGGGATGGAGAACGCGCGCCGGACTGACGAGGGTTGGAATAGCGACGTCCAGGATAGAAGCCACGAGCGCCAGCTGCGGCAGGCTGAAAACGCCCAGGGGAATTATGTCGACCGCGGACGGAAGAGAAGGCTGTGGTGGGAGCAACAAGCTGGGCCAAGCGGACAGCAGCTAGATCTGCTTCAAAATCCACCAAGCGATCATGAAGATCTTCAAAAAGAATAGTGGTGTCACGAGCACGGATCGCAGCAGAAAGCTGACCATATTCCTCAGGTAGCCCTCGAAGAACATAAAGAATAAGATCCTCATGTTTAACAGGATCATTAATCAGAGCTAACTCAGCAGCAGTGGTTCGCATAGCCTGAAGGTAAACAGCCACTGGACGATTGCCAAGGGTCTCACGCCCAAGCTTTTCTTTTAGGTGAATGATACGTTGACGGGACTGACTAGCAAACATACGTTCCAAAATCGTCCAAGCATCATGAGAGGAGGCAGCAGAGGAAACATACGGAGCGACAGCAGGAGCCATAGAAGCAAGAATGGCATGGAGAAGAAGTTGATCTTTCCTAAACCAATGGGTGCGCTCAGCAGCAGGAGCGGTGGCGGCCGGAGATGGATGGGTGCCATCGAGAAATTTCAGAAGGTCGAGGCCACGAAGAAGAGTGAGGATCTGCGCTCTCCAAGTCGGAAAATTATCTCCGTCAAGCTTAGTGGGTAGTTGAGAAGCAGGGTTGAGTGTAATGATGGTGGTCTTGTCATCGAGATTGATCACCGTCTCGCCAGACATGGCGTTGCCGTGAAGAAGAAAATGAAGACTGTAATAGGGAAAGGAAAGAAAGTGAAAAGGGTTCTGTGAATGCCGTAAAATATCACTCTAGGCAAGACTTGGAATCGACAGAGGAGTCTGGATATTTGGTAGAGAAAAAGAAGAGAAGAAGATTTGATGGTTAAGGAGATCAAAACTTAGCTCTGATACCATGTGAAGACTAGGAATCGTGTCTTTCATTAGATGTAGCAGTGGGATTAAATACCCACTCTAAAACAGAACACAAACCCACGTCGCCTACAACAGTGGAACAACTTAGTGGGCTGAAACAGAATACAACGGTATAGGGGTTACAATAATTAATTAAACTAAAGTATCCTTATCATTTGTATTGATATTAATTATCTCTGATCAATAAATTATTTATTATTGTATTAAGGTATAATGTTGTCAACTCGCGGGTCGACCCATGGGTTGACCCGGGTTAGCCCGGACCCGGCCATGAAAACGGGTTCCTACAGCCCATAAGAACTTTGGCCCGGATTTGGTCAAACCCGATAAAGTCCGGTCAAACCCGGCAAACCCGAACGATTTGACCCAGTGAGTACCGGGCGGTTTGACTTCAACGCCGTCATTAGGAAGTTCCGCTCCAGTCGAGGGGAGGAGACGATGAAGATGGAGGAGCGGTGGAACGTTCTTCAAGAACATAATTTGGGCTTGTTGCAGAGGGAGGCTCCAGCCAGCTTCTCTACCCCTTTCTCGAAAAGAAGCAGAGGAAGTGATGAAGCGATCGGAGGTTGGAGAGAGAGAAAGAAGGTAGGATTATTGATTTGTCGTTGCGAAGAAGGAATAGAAAGAAAAGGGAAGAGTTAGATTTAGGTTTGGACTCTAGAGTCTAGACTGGAAGCGCATCTCTTTGTTGGATAGGAGGCAGGATAATTGATGATTTGGTCCCAAATTTTCTCTGTCACCAAAACCACAATCCATTAATTTAAAATTGGATAAAAATATGCTAGATTTTTACTCACTTGTTCAGCCGCGTCAATGGGTCAAATCGGGTTGACAACCTTATTAATGACTCTTTCCATATTTCCGGGCTAAACCGGGTTAAAATGGGTGACCCAATAACCCATAACCCACTAGCTTGACCGGGTCTGGGTCAACCCACGGGTTGACAACCGTTGGTATATGCAATCTCAAATACATGAGGTATTTAGACAATCACAATTTGGTAAAATGAGTCTCAAAATTTTTTCCCCCGCTACCATTTACATTCTACTTTGCAAATACATTTAACCTACAAATACGCCTCGCACAATACTACCTAAAAAGCATACTACACAAATATTAATCTCCCGAAGTAATCAAATACGGCTCAAGATAGGGTGCATAACCATGGGTTATGCACCCATCAATAACTAAATCTGGACCCTTCATTTAGAAAATCCAGATCTAAGGATGGAGAATTAAAGACTATTTTTATTTTCACTAGCTTTCTTCATTGACTCATATCTTTTTCGTTTTAACTCGGATTTTTTTTTTTTTTTTGCACAGATGGAACGAGTTCACCGTGCTCTACAAAATGAGATCAATTTTCAATATTTTTTTAGGAAAAAAAATTCTGGCCTCTCGGTACCAACTGCATACCATATGGTATCTTCTTCGTTTTTAATTCGTTTTTGAAAACGTTTGCACAGCAGGGATGAGTTCATCATGATCTACTGGATCTACAAATTTCTGGGTGAACAAATTACAGGACCAAAAAATACCACACAATACCATACAATACCACCCTGGTACGGGGTGGTATTGTATGGTATCTTCTTCATTTTTAATTCGTTTTTGAAAATGTTTGCAAAGAAGGGACGAGTTCATCATGATCTATTGGATCTACAATTTTCTGGGTGAACAAATTACAGGACCAAAAAATACCACACAATACCATACAATACCACCCTGGTACGGGGTGGTATTGTGTGGTATACAATGTTAAAAGTCGTAAATTACAATTAATATACTTCTACTATCATGTATTCAACCATCCTACAGTATTGGTTTGTTCATACCACCATGGTACGTTTTTCAAAACATAGGTATGCTTTTATTTCAATACCAGTCAATACCATATGGTATAGGCTGGTAAAAAATGGCTCAATTTTTTTTGTTCGAAAAATATATTAAAGTGGATATCATTTTGAAGAGCACAATTAATCTGATCTAACTGTGCAAAAAAAAATTAAATTTCGACTTAAAATGAGCGAGAAATCGTCCGTCAAAAATTAAAGAGGGAAAAATTAAAGGCTTTTCATGAGAGAGAGGATGCTGATGTCATGCTGATGTGGACGGGTTACTCATGGTTACTCACCATAAGGTTACTGATCTGATCCCTTCCCATCAAATACTATCAAGATTTGGTATAGTGGTAATATAGCTAGTTTTGAACGTGAAAGTCTTACATTCGAATTTATTAGGGCTCGTTTGCTTTTTGGATTTGAAAACGAAGGTTTTTAGTTTTGAGAACCTTTGAATTTATGATGAATTTGTTTCATTTGGTATTTGAAAGATAATATTGTTTGTTTAGTTGATTTTGATTATGGATTTAAAGATTTTTGTACCATGGGTCTCAACTCCTTACTTTCAATAACCAAATACCAAATGAAATGTGGTATTTGCAAATACGTGGGGTCCATGGATTTGAGGCTAAAAAGGATGTCCAAATCTGTAGGCTCCACGAATTTGTATACCTCAACAAACAATGTTTTTATATCAAATACGTAATGCTTTGTATTTGAATATCAAATACATCATTCAAATCCCACGACCAAACTGCACCTTATATAATAATATTCTCTGCCGACATACATTTACCATCGAGAGTTGACTCACCAAATATAACAACTCATCATCGTAACTTACCATTGGGTTGACTCATCCCATTAGTTTAATGAAAACCATGAACAACTGCCATTAACCTAATAATTATTTTTCTTGATTTGCGAGCCCCAGCTTCTCATACCTCCATCTGATTCAACAACCATTAATATACACACGCTTTGTATTTTGTAATATGGAAAAAGCTGAAAAGGGACTATTTCTTCTCTTCACAACACAGGAATAGTAACAAAAAGCTGTATACTTGATCATCGAATGCAGTATACTTAATCCTATCAATTATCATACAAGAAATTTCTGGAAAGGTTGTTCGATGGGAAAGTCTGCACAAGTTCTCATCTCTCTCTAACTGTAGCTAAGCTCTAGGTCAACTGTCTCTTACTGCATGCTTTTCCACTGCAAGAAAAGAGCGACCAACCAAACGATGAGAAAAATAGAAAAGAAACAACAGCAGCAGCAGCAGTAAAGTTTAAGAGGACATATATAAATGCATTAGGTAGAGATGAATAATATGCAAAGTCCAACACCCTCTTAAATCAGTCAAGATCCTGCCCTTTTCCCCCTCTCCATGAACAGTCAAGATCATGGGTTTCTTAATTGAATAATTATACCACAACAACCCACAAATTATATTGCATCCTCTCATTAAATGTGCCCATCCCAACAAAGCTGCAATGCCAAAAACATTAAACAACAAGAGATCTACAAACCCTAACCACCAACTAGCTACAGCTGATCTAGACCTTCCCTTCCGGCCTTTACAACCCATAGACATACAGCAAGTAAAAATTGGTCTCAAATATGGCAATGTCAAGAATGTTGGAGATTGTAGCCAAATTTTGCATATGGCTAAGTATATAAGGTAGAGAACTAGAGATAGATAGATAGATCCCTAGGAATAGTACTACTGGAAATTAAAGGGAGCAGAAAATGAAGGAAAACCCCCTTCATGAAAGTGACTGAAGGAGATGGATTGTGTAAGAAAGAGGGGAAAAGCATATTCCCTGATCACTGTAGAAAAGACAAATAACAATAACTCTTGTACCAACTCCTCCTTCCTTTATGCAGTATGGAGTTAATGCTGCCTTTCCACTTCCCTCAACCCTCCATTCATGAATAACCCCTCAACCCAAGTATCAATTACCCATCAACCCAATGCCAGCTAGTAGCTATCTCCCCCCTCCATTAATGTCAACATTTCTCTGTGTGTGTATATGCTGAGAGACAAAAAGAAAGAAAGCTGAGAGTCATCCTCACCAAGAACAGAAACTATGCACATCTCTCTTCCCTCACAGTATCTCAGCCAGACCAAACAAAGCAAACCCTGTCTCTGAAAGTTCAACATCATCAACCTGACGGCCCTGTGCTCCCCTCCTGCTGTTGCTCTTTCTGCAGATGATGCTGCTGTTGAAGAAACAGCTGTGGCTTAAGCTCCACCGCCGGCCTTTGAACCTGCGGCCCTTGGTACGCTCTATCATGATCCATCTCCCCTAGAGCTAGGGACGACGATGATGGCGTCGAGACTCCCATTGATGGGCTGCTAAAAATCTCATTGAACCCAGTCGCTGTAACACCACCATCCATCAACCTGATCGCCTCCTGCTGCTGAAACTGCCTCTGCTGCTGCTGTTGATCATTATAAGCCCTCAGCATTTCCTGCTGCTGTGCCGCCTCCTGCAGTTGAAGCCGGTGATGAAATTGCTGCTGGTGTTGGGTATTATTTTCTCGGATCATAACGGGTAGACCCGACCCGGTCGGAATACCCATCATCGGGTAACTGTTTATCTGCTGTTGCGGCGGAATCATGAGGGTCGAAGAAGAGGGGTTTCCGGGGACGCCGAAATTGGGGGAGGGGACGAGCAAGGATTGAGGGCCGATGTACTTGGCGAGCTCCAGCCTGGCGAGGTGGAGATCCACGTGGAGCTGCTTGAGGCGGTGCTGGAGCTGGGAGATGAAGCCGACGCAGCCGTAGACCGGGTCGTTGAGGCGGGCCTCTGCCTCGTAGGCGAGGGAATTGACGGTGTCGTCGCGCTGGGCGGCGGGGATCTCGTTGAGCAGCTTGGCGACGTTGCTGGCGCCGAAGACGCGGTGGACGCTCGCGAACTTGGCCGGCTGGTCCGGCGGGAAGTAGGGGGCGAACACGCACTCCGCCGTGCACTTCCGCCGCAGGAACTTGCACGCCGCGCACGGCGAGCACTGCGACGACGACGACGACATCTCTTTCTCTCTCTTTCTTCTTCCTCTCTGAAGGAAAAACGATCTATTGGAAAGCGAAAATATGTAAATTAGAAGAAGCATTGGGATGGGAGACGGGTAATTAAGGTCGATATGATCTGATTGATTAAACATGTTGATTAGAATAATTGACTATGTTTAATGAGTGGCTGGATCCGAGAGAAGCTTCCATGGCGGTTTCCGAGAAAAACCCCCCCAACTGGTTGATTGGGGGATTTTTCCTTTTTCAGTGAACAAAAAGCTTCTTCTCCGTGATTGATAACAACTTTCCAAAATTTCCCTTAAACCTAAAAAGGAAAGTTAGAGAGAGAAAGTTACCGGCGAAAGTTCCAGCTAAACGGACCGGCTAATTCGATCGTTCCGTCGGCTAGTGAACGTTGCCTGAAGAATTAGTCTCGATATCTGTGCTCTACGCCGCCGCCGCCGGCGGCAATCGCAAGTACGTCGGGGAAAAGGGACTGATGGAGACGATCAACGGATGCTCACCCCCAAGATCCATTCGTTGGTCGATCAACGGGGAATCAATTAGAGGTTATCGGCGGGAGTTGAGATCTCGGAATCAACGGGGAAATGATTGGGAAAGAAAGAGAGGAAGAAAGTTTTTTAGAGAATGGTGGGTACTAGTCTATTACTGCTGCTATTACTAAGTTACGACTGTGCTGCTTCGCCATGGACGACGGGAGAGAAAAGCTGAGCGAGGGTTTCCTATTTGGGAGGGGTTTGATTTTTTTTTTTTTTTTTCTCCCGCACTCTCCCTTTCACTTACATTCTCAGGAAACAAACAGAGGCGAGGGAGAGAGAGAGAAAGATCTGTGGCGGTGAAAAAGAAGGAAGAAAGGACTACGTGATAAGTCGTCAGGCGTAAAGGGAACAGAATAAAAAGAAAGGGTATACGCTATACATTAATATGAAGTGAAAATCAATTAATTCATTTGTTTTTAAAACCACTAATTGATTAGCTAAGGACATCTCTACATACAGATGAGTGTGAATGTATGATCACTTCTCTAGTTCTCTTCGTTAGTTAGTCGGATATCTTGATAATTATCTTTACGGTGTAGAATTTATTGTCAAATGAATTTCTGTGTTTGGTAGTTATATTCGGGTTCGTTTGCTTCATGGATTTGAAAAATGAAGGTTTTGGTTAAAACTTGGGTTTTGTAAAACCATGGATTTATGATGGAATTGGTCCATTGTGGATTGAACCAAACCATTGTTTGCTTGTTGGATTTGATGATGGACTTAATTGAATGATTTTTGTGGGTATAAAGTTCAATTTACCTTGTTGCCCTTATTATTAATTATTTGTCTATCATGATTTTTTTATATATAAACCAAAATGAATCTCTCATACTCAGTGTTCTTCTCGTACTCACGTTCCCTCCAATTTAGTAATATCAATGTATGAGTTTAACTAAAACAAAAATATGCAGAGCCTTACTTTGTTAAATGGCAAAGCCGCCCAATCAATCGACTGTACACATAATAATTGGACTATTTAGAACACAAATGGATTGTGGATGGTCTTAGACTAGAATTTTCAAATCCATGGGTCCTCGGATTTGTAACCTCAAAGTCTGTGGGCCCCACAGATTTATTTCTCCAATTCCATCAAGCAAACAATGGATTGTGCCCAAAATCCATAATGTTTGGGTTTTATGCACCAAATTCATGTTTGGTATATGTTTAGAATTAAATTAAATTAAAAGTTTCTCCAACTATACCTTATTAATTTTCGGAAAAAACATTATTCATGGAAAATTCATCTTCTAAAAAACGGTTTTGGTCACATACGTAGAATATCAAAAGTGTTCTTGTGTGTTTATATTCTATTAATTAGTTCTTTTCTAATATTTCATGGATGAACCCTACAATCTAGTTGTGCCTTCTCAAAGTACTGATACAATAATCAAAGCAAAAATATAAAATAACTAGCATATGCTACTAGCATTGCAATCAAATACTTGATGACGTTTCTCATACTGCATCAATTGACGCCAAATAATATATGTAGAAGTAATTTTGTTACTAAATGAGGATAGTTATGTCATTCTATTATAATTAGTAAATACTTGTGGAATTCATTTGCAAATTCCATCTCAATTCCTCAAAATTGCTATAACTAGTTCTAATTCCGTAGAATTCAAAATTTAGAAATGCAAATGAATTCTTTTATATACCAAACACAAAAAGATTTTATTTCAAAATGAATTTCTCAAAATTTATGGAATTCATTTATAACGAATGGTATGTAAGCCAAGATTTCAATATAAAATTCGTTCTTTTATCTAAAGACAGAATCAAAATTAACCGTTTATGCTTTTGGGAAAAGGAAATTTTATGGTAGGTGGGCGGGTTCTTTGGGGTCACGCATAGATTTTTATGCGACAGTTCTTTTTAAATCTCCTTCGAATCTAGATTATTTTTCATTCGTTTTACATTGCATATCAAAATATAGTAGCGTGGGCCCGGCCATTTGGCCGGAGGAAGATGTGGTATGATATTTGATAATGTAATGGGGTGTATAGCTTATTGTTGTATAGTTTTTTTTTGGGAAACACGTGATAAAAATAGTGAATTTTAGTAGGAAAGATACATGAATAATGCAACGAATCAAAAATCAGCCTTATGAACCAAAATCAAGTACCTGTTACCTTGTGAAACAATATTGTTTCTGGTAATATGATGAGGTGGAGTAAGTTTTATAGAAACCGAATTCCGCCTATCCCGCCGGTTTTCGGGAAATGAGCATCTCACAATCGTTGCTAGCTTTTACTCGGCCCATTGGCCGATTAATTTGCTTTATAAAACTTTCATCTTAACATCATTGTGTTTTCTGGTTTTTTGCCAAGCCATGATAAAATCTAAAGAAATCAAGAATGAACAACACGATTTGGGATAGGAACCAACGTTCCTGTACCCCTAGAAAATGGTGGTAAACACGAACTCTCCTGCCAAACTGGTTTGGATTGAGATTTTTATCGGGTATCAGGGAACCATGTAATTATAAATTATACTTGATCAAAACGGGGCAAAACTTGAAATTCAGCCTGTTTGACCGACCCATGCAAACTCTAATTATTCTTTACTTTTAAACTTTCTATTTGAAAATAAAAAATAATGAAAGAAAAGAGATGACTGCAATTTGCCATTTGCACATCACTGATTCGGGAATAAAACTATAGAATTTTGAAAAGAAACTGAAAATGTTTAGGATCGTTTTAATGTTAAAAATAACCAAATAAATCTTTCTGTTTAGTTTTTTTACTAACAAATACCAAAAGATTCCCTATAATATACACTATAATTTAATCATTATGGTATCAAATAATTACATAATATATATTTGAAATGACAAAAATTGGACTAATTGGGTTGGTCGAGGTTGAACCATTGAATAACTTTAAAATACATTTTATTTTAGCCACTAAGATATAAAATAATAGCATAATATATATTATGCTTAGAGAAAATAGCTTGTTTTAGAATGACAAACCCATGATGTTCATTTGTTTTACTTGATGGGCAAATCTCGTGTAGGTCAGGCCCATTCTACTCTTTTATTTTATGATTAGCGGTTAACCTATTAGAATTCATGCATTAGTTTATTGTTAAATTTTTTTCTTATTAGCAATAAAAAGGAGTATTGTTTTTGCCTTTTCATATATATTTTACCACCACGGAGAAATAAAAGGACTTAAAGAAAAAAATTGACATTCCTGGACCTGTTTAAATCCGCATGTGTACGGTAAGTTGGCTCGTTCCACAGAGGAAAAAGAAAAAAAATGGACACTCCCTATTCTACCCTTCCGACAAACGCTCCTGGATCAGGGAATTTGAAATGGGGGAAGGGTTTTTTCCTCTCTGCGATTATATGTTTTTAATTTAAAAAGATACAACAAATGTACTTAGTGTGATTGGTTATAATCTTTGCTTTTCTTTAAAGTAGTCATGGTTCGAATCCTAGTAAGTGTATTTTTAATGAATAAAAAAAAGTAATTGTGAAGACCAAAATGTCCTTCCTACTTTCACTCTGGATGAAGGAAATTTGAAATGGGGCTTCAAGTTTTCTTATTTGGCTTTTATTTATTTTGTAGATTGTGTAGATCATAATTAACTAGTTTTTATGGAGATTTTTTTTTACTTTTGAGCTTAAATGAAAGATATATAGGGCTAGGTTGACTCTGCTGTAACTTTTGTAGAAGCAGCTTTTGGCTGAAACTTTTAGAGAAGTAATTAAAAAAACAAGTGGAGTGTTTGGCTAAAAAACTATTAGAAGTGCTTCTTAATATGAGAAGTTGTGTAAAATAACTTTAAAATACTTATTATATAAACTATGAATAAATATTCTAAACAATAAAAAGTACTCAAAAATGGATATTGTTAGATTTTTTAATATTAAATAATATGATTTTATAATTTATCTTATTTATAAAATAATATAAATGACATAAATTATATTTTCTGAAATAAAATTAGAATATGGTAAGGATAATTTTTTATTTTCAAAACAGCTTTTAGCAGAAGCTGCAAATCGGAGCTTCTGCTTTTATGTTATACAAAAGCGCTTTTCGGCTTTTCAAAAGTTGAGCTTTGAGAAGTGTTCGGCTCTGCTTCACTTTTTGAAATCGAAAAACACTTCTAAAAGTCGGACCAAACATAAGCATATAATTATACCACTATTATATCATTGTGATAATATTACAATAAAAGCGTGTTTGAATGGAGTTTTTTTGCTCAAAATATAACGAAACAAATATTATTATATATATATATATATATATTGTAATTTCATTATTTCAGTATACAATTTTATAAATTTTGAGTAAAAAAAAAAAAGACTCGATTAACAAAAATGAGAGATTATAAAAATTAGACTTTTAACTTTTCGAAAGTCTACTCTGAATTTCATGTCAGTCAAAGAAAAAAAAAAGACAAAGGAGTGTGGAAATTACCGGCATACCCCTCTTTATCCTTATATGAGTTGTAGACTTGTAGGCCCTGGGTTGAGATTTTAATAGATGACTCTAGATTAAGTTTTTGTAGGATTTTATAGAATAATA